AGCTGCTTATATAAAGTTTGCATGATCAGAGGATTTTTTTTAAAAAGCAACAACTTTAAAGAACAAATAAACAGCCTCTCCTACAACATGAAAAACTTAAAAGATTGTTGTTTTATGCTTGAAACACATGAAATCCTGATGATAATAGAACTAAACCACAACTCAGAGACAGCAAGGGGGAACTCAAGACAAAGACAGAATAAGAAAGACCAAGTTGGACTCTTGCACCTTTTGTTCTACTTACAATCTCACGTTACCCAGAGAGGAGCAACGTACTATGCACTGGAGACTTGTTTTATTTATTGTTTTAAATGCAAGCACAGACCAAAATGCCTTTCCTCATCTAGATCCAAGGCTGGTGGTTACACACTACATAAGCACGATTCCTGCCGCGCTTCACCGATGTGCAAAAGGGCATGCAGGCAAGTGGGAAGATGACACCATTGCAAGTCAGCATTTACAAAATGGGAATAAGATCTCAGGAACAGCACAACAATACACAGAGAAAATGAAAATAAGCTATAGCGATTGCCCAGAAAAAGGCCATGACACTCTGGCTGGGAACAAGATGAGATGAGAGAAAGAGACCTTGAGGGATGGGTTAGCAGGGTAGAAGAGAGGCAAGACCTGTTTTTTTGTAATTGATACAGTGATCAACTTTTCTAGGTTACTTGCTATTTTTGGACCAGATGGACTTGCAGGAGGCAGAACCAGGACTGGAAGCGATGTTCTGTCACAGGGTTCATGGCAGACCATCCACAGCAAGCTCCAACATGGCTACTGAGTCAGCAGTTCATGGCTACCAAACGCTCACACAGTGTACATTGTTCCCTCCTTCTCCACTCATTCTCGGAATTAGAAAAATCCCCAAAAAAGGGGGGTTAGAAATACCATTCCTGCAGGCTAGGTTTTAACAGAAACAAGATGACTAAGGTGGCAAAAGGAGGAGGACATGATTAATAAAATATTTAAGAGATCAAAAAGATTGCTCCCACACACTCATCTGCCAAGCCTAGAGGGTATTTCACTGACAAAGAGCAAAGCAGCCAGCACACAGTAGAGAGCCACAAGCATAAAGAAAACTGCCCTTCTGCCCATGGGACATGTCATCAGAAACCCACGGAAGGACCTTTTCTCTGTAGTCTGGAGAACCCTCTCACTATATACACTACAAGAGTGAAATCCCATGTTCTCATCACCTTCTCTGTTTCCACATCTTCTCAAAACCCATCCCACTCTAACTGCCTCAGCTAGATGTACCCAGTATATTTCTAAATTACCTGAAAACATCAGCTCTCCTAGGAAAAGGAGAAGTCTTCCTACTTACAATACATATTTGGAAGCTGCAAAGAAGACTTGCAAGCACATTTGGACTTGTGCTGCTTGTTCAATGCAATTTGTCTACAGTCTCTGTAGAGACTGCAGTCAATCTCAGGGGCTTGATCCAGAGCCTGAAGACCACAGAAACCCTCAGCTGAATCCACAAGCTGTACCAGTCCTGCAGACCACTACAGTCTCCCCTCACATCATGCTTGAGTCACCAAGAACACTTGGATCACATCTCTGAAACAGAAGAGTGCTCTTCAAAACACCACCATTTCTATTTCAGAAAAGTACAGAGAAAAAAAATAAATTAGGAAGTCATTTAGGGAACTGATAAGATGACATGGATCTAGAGGCTGATGGAACATATTCTCAAACAGGGTCATCACCAGCATTTAACCTAATCACATCGTCACCTCTCTGTGCTCCGTGAGGGAGTATCTCAAGCACTTGCTCAGCAGCAGGAGCAACACAGCCCAGGGCAGCTGCTGCTACAGTCCAATACACAGCCAAGAAAATCCAAATCCTCCAATTCTAACATCAGTTTTCCACCAATTCACTGCAGAGACTAATTCACGTCACCACGACTGGGCCAGGCTGTGGTGGCGCTTGCTTTGCAGTGGGAGACTGAAGGCAATGGGAGACCCCAGCCTGCTTCCAGGGAACACGGGGTGTCCCAAAAGCGACAGAGACACACACAGTGCAGGCCAACATTTGGCCTGTGCATCTGTCCAGCAGGACTAAAAGCCTTTGCTTTTCATACCCCACAGAAGTGTTGCAAGGATTAGCTCATGTTTATTCAGCACCATTTTTCAAAGCACTGCACGAGAGCCAAACCCTTTGATTTTTTTAAATCTGTTCCTTGCTTTGTCACTCCCTCCCCTCCCGAAGGGATGCGTTTCTCCCCTCCTGAGAAACAAACAAGCAGGAGGTCAGCGGGAGTGGGAGGTGGGAAGCACATTCCATGCTGCTCCTCCTCCTCTCTCAAACCACAAATGCCACCAACCCCTGCTGTCTGTCCAGCCCGGCCGGTGCCCAGCATCCAGCCTCCCCACGCAGCCCGGGGAGGGACCGGACAGGATACGCAGCAGGATGTTTAACCTCATCTCATTTCCTTTTGGGTTTCAAGGAGAAAAAAAACACGGTGGGTCAAAGAGCCTCCCCTGGAGCCACGCAGCCTGCCCACGCTCCCATGGCAAGGTAGGGGGGCTCTGAAGAAGCTCCTCTTTGCAGCTCCCCTCCTCAGCCAAAACGCCGAGCGGGTGCTGCAGCCCAGGTCTCCCTGGAGGAGATGCATCCCAACCCTCCGGGAACATGCCAAGGCCTTGGCACTCAGCCTTGGCATGAGGGGATGGTTCACATCCGAGAGTACGTAAGTGTTAGACATTAGACCTCGTGCTTTGTGCAAGTGTGGGCAAATCCGACGCGGGGCATTTTCTTCCGCGCACAGACTTGTTGAGCCAGATCAAAAGAGCAATCCTGGGAGCAGAGCTCAGGCACAGGCAGCACCAGGGGGAGGATGTGGACAAACCACTACAGGTTGCTCTGTGCTGCTTACAAAGCCCAAGAACATCAGAAAGAGCTACAGAAAAAGGCATTAAAAACACAAACAGCTCTACTCGAAGAGCACTTTCCCTCGGCTACAGTGCCTGACATCTGGGCATCCATGCAGATAGCAACATCCACTACTGCACCAGAGAGAGGCAAAATTAAAGTGTTAGCATGAATATAAAATCTCCAGACATTGCAAACACAAATTAAGATGTCAAAGGTAAGAAAAAAAAAAAGAAGGCTCTTTTCAACACATTGCTTTGATAACTTTACAATGTACATTTAAACAAGAAAAATAAAAACCTTAGACCCAGTAGAATCAGAAATGAAAGAACAAACCATACCCCAAAAATTATCTGGATTTTTGTATATCAATTTTACTGAAACGGGAGACAAAAACCCCATTCCCTAATTTAGAGGGAAGTTTTTGATGAGCTTGACATGAACAAACCTTTGTGACTCTGGGAAAGGCTTTGAATTCAGGCAAAGAAATCCCTTCATTTTTAAGCATGACAAATTTTGTGTCACTTCCCACAGCTGGTGACATTACATAGAGCATCTGCCAGCTTCACTGGGATCACATACAAGCCAAATTCTAGTCCCAGTTCACCCGCAGGATTTCTTTCAGGAACTCTATGCAGCACATGGACACTGGAATTTAAGCCAATGCAGTTCTAGTCCCTGACTTATAAAAAATTACATTAAGGCAGAAAAAGGAAGTACAGAAAAAGCAACATAGCTATGGTTTTCCAAAAAGTTTTAAAGTGCAGTAGCTGATGATTTGCCTCTTCAACGTGTGGCTGTACAGACACTGCACCCCAGGCACTGGCACTGCCTGGGACAGATGTTTGCTTCTCCAACCAGAAATAGATTTCAGCAGAATCACCCTCCCTGTGCTCCGCTGTGCAGGTCTTCACCTATTAAGTTGCCTATAGCAACTAAAAGGTTATGAATGTGCTCAAATAAAGCAGAAACCCAGAGGGAAATGTTCCAGAAATGTTTTAAACATTCAGCTTGGCATGGAATAAAAATTCCCACAGTTTCTGTCCTTACAAGTCATGAACAGGAAGACTTACTACAGGTACCTGGCTTGACAGAGCACAAGTCTTGAACTAAAAGAAAAATACCACTAACTGTGCTGGCACGGGTTGGGTTTTGTTGTTGGTTGTTTTGGGGTTTTTGTCTTCCTTTGGCAAGGAAGTTCAAAGTGTAACACTGTTTTCCTCATGGAAAGCAACAGCTACAAGGCAGAAGCTACTGGGATAAGAGGATGACACTCAAGATGCCAGTGGCTGCTAAATACTGACTGCACAGTGCCATGCGAGGCATTTCATATCACACAACAGCAGAAAGATCATCAGATCTCAGTAGCAGAGGTTGGATATCCCCCAGCTCCACACACAATCCCAGCTCTGGGAACAAGAGCATCAGTTCAGTTTGTCTGAAAGCGAAACACCTCTGGCAGAGGACATCGGCGTGTTACTGGGGGGGTTTACTGAATTTCACTGAATTTTTGAAGTTGGAAGGGACCATAGAGATAATCTAGTCCAACTCTCCTGCTGAAGCAGGATTGCCTAGAGCATGTTACTCCCGACTGCATCCAGGCGGGTCTTGAAAATCTCCAGAGAAGGGGACTCCACGACCTATCTGGACAGCCTGTTCCAGGGCTCTGTGAAGGACTCTACTCACTGTGAAGTAGGAAGTAGTTTTTTCTCATATTTGAGTGGAACTTCCTATGTTCCAGCTTATGCCCGTTACCCCTCGTCCTCTCACTGGCAACCACTGCTGGGGACTTTTCTCTGCAAACTCTCCATGGAAGGCAAACCATTTGCAAAATTATACTATGTTACACTAAAAGATAAACAAAAACATCCCTCCCCTAAAACAAAAAAACAAAACTGGAAAAGCACAGGTAAGCCAAGGCTGGACAGAGTTTGAGTTGTCATCCAGGATGCTCTGTGTCGGGAACAGGCCATGACTGCTGACACCAGTGAGAGTGGAAGAGGGGGGGACCACACCCGGGATGTTTTGGGAGGATGGAAGAGAGGATATAACCTGTTGGAGGGGGGCGGTGGGGAGGGACAGGGCGGGGGACAGGCCTGCTCGGGGTGGGGGGTGATGCCTACCTGGATGTAGGCTCTCTGCAGGTAGCTGTAGGGCACCCTGCGCTGGAAGTCGGCCCCCACCTCCTCGGAGGCGAGGTGGCGGGAGGCGGCCCCCAACCGCGGTTCCTCGCAGCGCCGCAAGCAGCCGGCCCTCCGCAGCACCGAGCCGAAGAAAGGCAAATCACCGCCGGCTCCCGGACCCGGAGCCGCCAACCGCACCTGTCCCCGGCAGCTCCGCCGACACCGCAACCGGGCGGCCCGCACCTCCCGCCGGCTGCTCAGCGCCCGCTCCATGCACCGCGCCGCCCCCGCGAAGTCGCCGCCGTAGTACGCCTCCACCCCGCTGGCGTACAGGGCGTCGAAGGGCTCCAACCGGCCGCCTTCCCCCGCACACACGCCGCCAGCCCCGCACGCCGGCGGCAGCAGCAGCGGGAGCAGCAGCAGGGCCCCCCAGGGCCGGCTCCCGGTTGCCATGCCCGCCCCACCGGCGGTCCGTGCGATGGATGGGGCGCCGGGGGGGTCCGCAACGCTGTGTGAGCGGGGGCTCGGTGCAATAGGGGCCGGGGGGCCGCGCAGTGGAGTCCGCCTTCGGTGGGGGGGTCCCTGCAAGGGGTGCCGGTCACCCTACAACGGATCTCGGTGGGATGGGGTCCGTGCAACGGGAGCCGGTCACCCTACAGTGGGTCTCGATGTACCGGGATGCGGGGGTCCGTGCAGCGGGGGGGCCCGGGGGTCTGTGCAAAGGAGGAGCCGGACACACCACAACGGCTTTCGGTGCGGCGGGTCCGGGGGTCCGTCCGGGGAGCTCCGCTGCGGTCCTGCCCTCGGCGGTGGCGGGTCTGCGGCTCGGCTCCCAGCACGCCCGGCCCTGTGCCGCCCTCCCGCCCCGCCGGCACCTCTTAAAGGGCCCCGCACGGCCGGCCCGCCCCGTCCTCCCCCCAGCCCCCCCCACCGTAAAACGGATCTGGGTCTAGTGGGATCCGGAAATCCGTGCAATGGGAGCCGGTCACCCTACAACGGATCTCGGTGGGATGGGGTCCGTGCAACGGGAGCCGGTCACCCTACAGTGGGTCTCGATGTACCGGGATGCGGGGGTCCGTGCAGCGGGGGGGCCCGGGGGTCTGTGCAAAGGAGGAGCCGGACACACCACAACGGCTTTCGGTGCGGCGGGTCCGGGGGTCCGTCCGGGGAGCTCCGCTGCGGTCCTGCCCTCGGCGGTGGCGGGTCTGCGGCTCGGCTCCCAGCACGCCCGGCCCTGTGCCGCCCTCCCGCCCCGCCGGCACCTCTTAAAGGGCCCCGCACGGCCGGCCCGCCCCGTCCTCCCCCCAGCCCCCCCCTTCCTCCTCCGCGACGAGGTGGTGGTGCGGGGAGGCGGGGGTTCGGGAGGCAGTCACCGGCCGGGAGCCGCTCGGAGCATCCCCGCTCTGGGACTCGCCTCCTGGCTGCAGGGATTTTGTAAAATGACGGCGTGAAATTGAAATTGCCCCGGGGTGATTTAAAGGGCAGCGGCAGATTTTCCTCCCTCTTTTTCCCGGCCGTGCCCCGCACCTCCTCCCGCTTCCCCACATCCCCGCGGCTGCCGGCGTTACTCGCAGGATGCTTTTCTTGCCCCTCGGCGGGGCCGTTGCTCGGTTCTCCCCGGGTTCTCCTCCTCCTAGCCCCTCTTCCCCCCCCACAGCCTCCCGCCGCCGGGAATTCTGCAAATCAGTCATCTGGGATGGGCACGGTGAGTGGCTGCTAAAGCCCTTTCAGCTCCCAGCTGTGTGTTTGCCTGGCTTTCTCCAAGGTTTCTCTCTTCCAATGCTGCAAATCCCTGCCCTGCCAAAAATGTTACTCTTTTTTTTTTTTTTTTTTTCATGAATTTTAAGGCATTCTTGTGACGAGACGTTTGGCAATGCAACCTAGTGACACACACACACACACACACAAAAATCTTAGTTGGCATTTAAAATAATCTCAGTGTTGAACACCTGTCAGCAAGAAGTTTTTCATATTAATACTGTTAAATTGGTCAAAATCAGCTGTTTCTGAGTGAGAGGGAATAGGCAAATCCTGGATCCCATTAGATGCTTTACTGTAAGCTGTTCTGGGCTCGAGTACTCTGAAGTCTCTGCATACAGCACTGTGCTCAGGGCTCTCTCACCAGGGATGGTGGCTTTAGTCATTTCAGACATTTCAGGAACATCTCTGTAGCTGTTAGCTGTCTTTTCATAGACTAAAATAGCTGCCAATGGGAGATGCTCAAAACCCATTTGGTCCAGATTTTGTTATTTCATCAAGCCAGATGTTCCTCACAGTCCTGCTGAGCTGGGCTTTCCCCTCTGCTGCTCTAGTGGCTTTGATCAAATTGTTCTGAGTTTATGCTGCTGTGTCCAGGATCAGAAACAGGGCTCAGCGCCCTCTCTTTGGGCAAGTGATGAAATTATGGAGTCTGGTTTGCGGCAGTTTCACATAAGGGAAGTTTTTTCCCACATGGCTGGAGATTTACTAGAGTTCTTGATGAAGAGCTTTCCCATCTGGCAAAAATTTCATAACAAACATAATCTCAGTTGCTTTCTTACAAATTGGCACAAAATGTTTTCAAGGTTTGAGCATCCCTCTGTCCTCCTGCCCAGCCAGACATGCTGGGGAGGGTACTCACAACAGGGGGAACAACACCCTGAGGGGAGATATCCAGTGGGGAGAGGTACCTGCTGTACCACCAGCCCATGCAATGCGAGTTCTCAGGTCCAGGTAAAAGGAAGGGTTTTTTTTGCAAGGGAAGGGCTATCAGCACTGCTGGGGAATGGAAGCGACCATATGAGAGGGCCACTTCAACCTTCTCGAGGGTCACTTGAGGATTTCCTGCCTACATATAAGACAGAGGTGCCAATGGTGACTGCACAAGTTTAGAGTGAGAGGCAGCTCTGCCTCAAATGGCACAGATAAACGATGTGCTCCTTGGGTGCACTTTCTGATGGATTCACCTCAGCTGATCTATTTGCAGAAGTGCTGTCTGTAATTCCATATTGATTCCAAGTCAGTGACATTTCTGCAATGAATGACTGAAAAGAGAATGAAATAAAGTGGTTTTTTTTAAAACTTCATCCTGCTGCATTTTCTGATCCAGATGTTTCTTTCATTAAAAATCCTTTTTGAAATGGTAAAGAAAAGGTTCTTAGTTCTGACACCCTGCAGCCCAATTCTGCTGTGCTTTCTCCAGGGTTTTCTCTGCAGGCACCCACTCACTCTAGGACTAGACGGACACTGCCCCTGCTTTGCAGTCCTCCTGCCTAGGGTCACACTTTCTTTGCTCACCAAAGTTTGTGCTCTCTCTCATCTTGATGATTCATCACTACCTAATTGCAGCAAAGAGCTCAAAAATAGTTGGCACACACAAGGCACTCAGTCCAAGGTATCTCTAGGGCATGTAGTGCAGTTGCTTGAGCAGCCACCCTTATTCTTATGCCCCTGCTCACTGCCTAAATGAAAGGGCAGCAACCAGATGAAAGAGGTCTGCTGGTCCCCTGATTGGAGGTCTTGTTCTTGCAGAAGATCTGAACCATAACAATTTGGCCAGCAGCATGGTAGGCAAGTTGGGCTTGCCTTGTTAGAGTTGGAAAGGAGCTGGGTTTAGAACCCTTGTACATATAAAGGCAGGATTTCAACCAGCAGGGCAATTAGTACTTTAGGATGTTACAGCTTGGAATCAGGCCCCAAGATGCCTGAGATATCCCTCATGCATCTAATGAAAGGAATAATTCTAAAAATGTAACAACTCAGTCCGTGTTCAAATGTTGATCCTGGCCCCTGTGCAGTTGTTTTGAAAGACCTTTTCCTACGTAAATAGATTCATCTGAAGCTTTTTTTCCCCTTTTTTTTTTCTTTTTTTGAGGAAAACTCTGATATATGGGTCAAACCACTGGTGATTTGGCAACCAGATAAGAGAAAATTTTAAAATGCCTTTCAAAATGGCTTTTCAACATGCACATTACAAGCAGACCTAAGTTTCAAGCCCTCTCTGTTCAATTTGTAGACTTGCCTTTGCATTTAATTCATGGACAAACTTTATAATTCCCAAATCAAACACAGGTGACCCCTTCAGCCATGTACCTTAATGAAAGAGAGAGTGAGCGAGCGAGCTTTGAATCAGATGGAAAAATACAACACGCCCCCACTGTAGGGCTTTGGTCCTTGCCTCATGTACGAATTTACACGTTTACTGAATATATCAAAACCATTAGTGAAGTACTTCATGATTTAGACCCAAATCCAGACCAAAATTCTGTGGAATGCCTCCATCTACCCAACACCTTTTTTATTCAACAAAGTGTGGAAGTGATTGTAAATGTCAGTAGATGTCAGGAAATGAATACCAAATAAATAGCTGTGCTGCAATAATTAACATGCACCACATTTTGGGAACCTCCTTCTAGGAAAAATCCATCATCAGAGTCACATAAAACTGGTCTAAGCTTAGGAGGGGTGAAAGGCTGAGCGACCGAGGAGTAATTTTCTCTGTAAATTATTATTCTTGTTTATAGCACAATGAATGCACATTGCAACAGAGCAGAATATGGATGGAGAGGACACAAGCTGCATGCTGGGGATGCCACCCCATCCCCTCCAGGTTGTACCTGCTGTTTCGTTGTTGCTGACTTACAGATCTGCTTCCCCACAGCTGTACATTTCAGCCTGTCTCTGACACATTGCTCCAGGTGGGTGGCTGATGACTTGAGGTCAGCACAGGTGAACAGGAGGTCTTTAATTTTTCCTCCTGAACCTTTTCACTTTGTCTTCCCTCTATCAATATTTCTGTAGGCTCAGGATGTGCCGGCAGCTGACTTTATCATTTTCCCCCAAACAGACATCTGATTGGTGATCAAACACTGGATATTCTTCTTCCATAACCTACAATCACAAGAACATGGGAAGTCCTCTGTCCTAGCAGGCCTCTATACTTCTATTTCTTCCAGGCATGTCCATCTCATATCTTGCTGATAACAGCCTCTTTTTTTATGACTTCCCCTTGACATCTGCACAGATATTACCTCTGCAGATGGACAAAATGATTGCCAGCTTTGCTTACAATGTTGTTCTGAGTACATCACCCACCTATGTATGCTTCCTCACACACACTGTCAAGGTCATCTCATATCCACCTTTGCAGCATCCAGTAAAGTTGCCTTGGCCCAGGCAGAAGCCACGTGCTCGTCCACATCTCTCTCTACTACACACCATTATTAATACCGGCCTTGACAGCTCATTCTTTTCTTTGTCCTGCTCTGGCCTGGCTCTGTGCTTCGTTTCATGGGGCTTATTCTATCTCTGCCTGTTTTGGAAAAGGTTTTGTGCTGTAGAATTTTCCATTGCTCCTCTACTGCAGCACAAACCAAGATTAACTCCCCAAAGTCATCTCTGCAATGATCCCTCCATTGAGCCTCTCAAGGCTTTGGACATGTGCTTCAGTCTGCAAGAGCTTCGTGATACACAGAAATCCCTGCGCTGGATCTGTTATAAAAACCTTAATACATGAGCACAGGCGAGTACAAGACAAGGCTTGCTGTTGGCACTCAGCAGAGAAATACAATCATATAAATCACATAAGCAGAAGATCCTTGTGTCTTCCCACGTGTAGGCAACAGTATAACCTTATTGAATTCCAAGTGTCCATTACGCTCTGCTCACTCGGAAACTTGGACTCTACTTTACTGCCGTTATAAATTAAAACCCAGTAAAAATAAAGTTCAAAAAGTACAACATACACAACCACAGGCGCTCTGGTGTCTTGGAGGCATTGGCCACATGCCTGTATCTTTGAGCCTGGATTTAAAATACCTCCATGGCCTGT